GAGAACCTATAGTTTCTGACAGGCCTTCTGGCTGTTCTCAGGGTCCAGGTATGTTTTGCTCCTGCCTCATTTGCAAGGCAGCAGCTTTCAGGTAATCCACATGTTTGTACAGCAGCACCTCACCTACCCAAACTTAGTATGTCATCGAACCTGACCTTGCGCCGACCTCGCCTTGTACCCATACAGGGCCATTTCCATGGTTCTGACACAAATGTTTATCCCCTGAAGTAAACAATCTGTCTTTCTCACATAAAGGAGGTGTAGAGGATTGTGGAGTCTTCTCCCAATTAGCAACTCTGCTGGAGCTTTCCCTGTAGTTGTGTGAGGGGTGGTCCTATAATCAAACAGGAACGAGGACTGTTTGGTATCGAGGGAAGGGCTGAAGGCTGTTATTTTTTAAGCCTGCCTGCAAAATTTGGAAAGCTTTTTGTGCCAGACTATTGAATGATGAATGGTAAGGAGCTATTCGAACATACCGAATGCCATTCAACTTTAGAAAATACTCCAATTCTCTGCTGGTAAATGACGTCCCATTGTCCATGTGGGAGTCTGTGAATCATGAACGATGCTCGCAGCTTTTCACTCATCTGAGTTTGCTGAATGACCTCTAAGCACTTCCAACTACTTTCAATGGGCATCCACAATGACCAGGAACATTGAGCCCATAAAAAAGGACCAGCATGTCAACATGTATCTGAATCGAGGGTTTACCTAGCCGTTCCCATGAATGTGGGGTGCTGCCGGTGGCAATTTCTGTACATGTTGGCACTTTGGGCACTGCTCCACCAATACAGCTGTGCCTGTATCCAATCCTGGGCACCAGACAATTTCCTCGCCAACATCTTCATTTGGAAACCCCTAGATGACCCAGGTGGTGTTCAGTCAATATCTGGCAGTGACCTTTACTCGGGACAATCACCTGGCAGTAATGTGCCGTCTTCTACTGTGATCTAGTCTCCCCAGGTCCAAAATGGTTTCAATCCTGGTTGTAATGGCCCTTCTCTTTCTCCCATTACCACCAGCTATTTCAGTTTCGCTAGGACAGGATCTTTGTGTCTACAGTCGATATTGTCCGTGGTGACTGGAAGGGTGTCCAGGAAATTTAAAACCAAAACGGATTCTTCCAGGGGAGGCACCACCGGTGGAGTATCTGCCAGTGGGAGGCGGCTCAAAGCATCTGCATTAGCCACTTGGTCTCCGGGACGGTGTTCTAACTTGTACGTGCTGAGAATAAGGGCCCAACACTGAATTCTACTGGAAGCTATAGGCGGCACTGCTTTGTCTTCCTTCAGAAGCCCTCGCAGGGGCTCGTGATCTGTTAATATGATGAATTCCTGTCCATAAAGGTACTGGTGGAACTGCTTCACACCAAAGATGACCAGCAAACCGTGCTCTCTATTTGGGCATATTTGCATTTGGCATCAGGCAAAGTCCAGGAAGCGTATGCTATCGTGCATCCCTCTCCATTGTGCCACCAGTGAGCCAACACTATCCTGATACCATATGGGGAGACATCTCATGTCAGAGCCATCTCTCACTTAGGATTATCGTGGGTCAGCACCTTCGATGACGATAGCTGCTTTTTCACTTCCAATGAGTATCTCATTCAAGGTTAACCCAAAATCGTTACAAAATTGGTTTGACGGCAGGCGACAGAGGGTGGTGGGGGTGTGGGGGAGTTGTTTCTTGGACTGGAGGCCTTTCACCAGGGTGAGCCATGGGAATCGGTACTGGGTGTATCATTTATATAAATGATTTGGTTGAGAATGTAGGAGGTGTGGTCAGTAAGTTTGTGGATGGCACCAAAATTGGTGGCATAGTGGACAGCAAAGAAGGTTATCTATGATTATAAAGAGATCTTGATCAATGGATCAGTGCTGGGTCCGCTGCTGTTCGTCATTTATATAAATGATTGGGTGTGAATACAGGAGGTATGGTTAGTAAGTTTGCAGATGACACCAGATTGGAGGTGTAGTGGACAGCAAAGAAGGTTACCTCTGAGTACAACGGGAACGTGATCAAATGGGCCAATGGGCCAAGGAGTGCCAGATGGAGTTTAATTTGGATAAATGTGAGGTGCTGCATTTTGGAAAGGCAAATCAGGGCTGGACTTATACACTTAATGGTAAGATCCTGGGGACTGTTGCTGAACAAAGAGGCCTTGGGGTGCAGGTTCATAGTTCCTTGAAAGTAAAGTCGTAGGTAGACAGGATACAGAAGAAAGTGCTTGGCATGCTTGTGTTTAATGGTCAGTGCATTGAGTATAGGAATTGCGAGGTCATGTTGCAGCTGTACAGGACATTGGTTAGGCCCACTTTTGGAATACTACATGCGATTCTGGTCACCCTGCTATAGGAAGGATGTTATGAAAGTTGAAAGAGTTCAGAAAAGATTTACAAGGATGTTGCCAGGGTTTAAGGGTTTGAGCTATAGGGAAAGGCTGAATAGGCTGGGGCTATTTTCCCTGGAGAGTCGGAGGCTGAGGGGTGACCTTATAGAGGTTTATAATATCATGAGGGGCATGGATCGGGTAAATAGTCAAGGTCTTTTCCCCAGGACAGGGGAGTCAAAAACTAGAAGGCATAGGTTTAAAGTGAAAGGGGAAAGATTTAAAAGTGTCCTAAGGGGTAACTTTTTCACACAGAGGGTGGTGCATTTATGGAATGAGCTGCCAGAGGAAGTGGTGGAGGCTGGTATAATTATAACATTTAAAAGCCATCTGGCTAAGTATATGAATTGGAAGGTTTAGAGGGATATGGACCAAATGCTAACAATCGGACTAGATTAATTTAGAATATCTGGTCAGCATGGATGAGTTGAACCGAAGGGTCTGTTTCTGTGCTATACAGCTCTATAACTCTATGACTCTAATTGGGTCAATGGGCTAAGGAGTGGCAGAAGGAGTTTAATTTGGATAAATATAAGGTATTGCCTTTTCACAAAACAAGCAAGGGCAGGGCTTATAACAATTGATGGTAGTGCCCTGGGCAGTGTTGTAGAACAGAGAGACCTAGGGGATCAGGTACATAATTCTTTGAAAGTTGCATCATAGGTAGACAGGGTGGTTAATAAGGCGTTTAGCACATTGTTTTCATTGCTCAGATCATTGAGTGTAGGTGTCGGGTGTCATATTGAGGTTGTACAGGATGTTGGTGAAGCCTCTTCTGAAGTACTGTGTGCAGTTCCTGTTGTAGAAAAGATGTTATTAAACTGGAGAGAGTTCGGAAAAGATTTACCAAGATGTTGCTGGAATGGAAGGTTTGAGTTATAAGGAGAGGCTGAAAAGGCTGGGACTTTTTTCACTGGAGCGTAGGAGGTTGAGAGGAGACTTTGTAGAGGTTTATAAAATCACAAGGAGTATAGGTAAGGTGACTAGCAAAGGTCTTTTCCCTGGGATTGGGAAGTTTATACCAGGGGCATATTTTTAAGGTGAGAGGAGAAAGATTTAAAAAGGACATGACGGACAATCATCGCTCGGTTCGCAACAAACAACTGCACCTCCCAGTCGCGAACCATTTCAACTCCCCCTCCCATTCCTCAGACGACATGTCCATCCTGGGCCTCCTGCAGTGCCACAACGATGCCACCCGAAGGTTGCAGGAACAGCAACTCATATTCCGCTTGGGAACCCTGCAGCCCAATGGTATCAAAGTTTCAAAATCTCCCCTCCCCCTACCGCATCCCAAAACCAGTCCAGCTCGTCCCTGCCTCCCTAACCTGTTCTTCCTCCCACCTATCCCCTCCTCCCACCTCAAGCCGCACCTCCATCTCCTACCGACCAACCTCATCCCGCCCCCTTGACCTGTCCGTCCTCCCTGGACTGACCTATCCCCTTCCTAACTCCCTACCTACACTCACCTTTACTGGCTCCATCCCCGCCTCTTCGACCTGTTTGTTTCCTCTCCACCTATCCTCTCCTCTATCCCTCTTCTATCCGCCTCCCACTCTCTCCCTATTTATTTCAAAACCCCCTTCCCCTCCCCCTTTTCTGATGAAGGGTCTAGGCCCGAAACGTCAGCCTCTCTGCTCCTATGATGCTGCTTGGCCTGCTGTGTTCATCCAGCCTTGCACCTTGTTGTCTCGGAGTAAACTATGATGCTGTTTTCAGTGAGAGAGACAGCGGCTAGGAGCCAGGCCCAGAGTCGGGGGCGGGGAATGGGGAGAGAGTGAGTGGGGGGGGAAACAGAGGGGGAATAAGGAGGGGAAACAAAGTAAGGAGAAACAGTGAGGTAGAGAAAACATAGTAAGGAGGGGGAATAAGGAGGGAGAAACAGAGGGAGAGTGAGGAGGGGGAGGAGGAGGAGGTGGTAACCAGAATGTGGAGGGGAGTGAGGAGGGGGAAATGAGCGGGGTGGGGGGGGGGGGGGGGCGAGTAAGGAAAGGGAGTGAAGCAGCAATTGATGCAAAAATAGCTGAGATCATTGGAAATGTTATTTTGTGGCATCAAAAGACTGAAGAGCTTTTTCAATGACTTGGATTATTAGTGATTCCAAACAGAATCTTTATTCCCTGGGTAAGTCTGAGCTGGTTTGTACACAGACTGAGCTGTGGTTTTCTGATCTGTCTTAAGTGTTGATCTGAAAGCTTCATTTTGTACCATTCAAACACTTTCCCAGTTGATCTTCGTTGCTACAGTTTCAAGTGACCAAGTGTGCTGTGCCCAGATTCCACATCATGGCCTGTGAACTGGCGAGTGTGAATAGTGCTTTAGAAGCCTTGCTGACAGTGTTCAAAAGAGCTGCGAGTCATGACAGCGACAACTTGACTCTGAGCCGCAGTGAGCTCCATCGTTTGATTATGACTGAGCTTCCTTTTTTGGTGGAGGTAAGACCCTGGGCTATTGAGAAAGCACTGCCCATTAGGGGCACAGCTCCCTGCGAAGGAGACACAACGTGAATAGAGCAAGGGCAGGGTGCTTTGGGCTGTGACAGTAACAAACACCTTCATTTCTCTCCACAGCCCAACTTTGATAAACATTTCGAGAGTTTCTTCCGGTGTATGGAAGGTAATCCTGGCAGTAATGTCGATTTTAAAGGGTTCATGTGCCTGTTAGCGACTATTGTGATGTGCCGTGACCAAGAACTATCCCAGTAACTACATTAATGCCGTGTGGAGTCATCAGTAACAGCCACTGGAACCATCAACAGCAAATAAACTCATCTCAAAATGATGCAGAGTTTCCATTTCTTGTAAAGTGAGATAGATAGACAGAAAAACAGACTCTCTATAGTTTCCTTGTGGTTGTACCTCCATCGACAGCCCCTGTCCAACATAACCCCCTCATATCACTATCCTTCCACCAACGCCATTTACTCAGTCAGGCCCATCAATCTTTCTATGGGGTTTGAATGATTTTCCCTGTTGTTTGTGAGGTATCTCTGTTACAAATCCTGTTCCACCTTAGACAAATTGATCCTCATACCTTTATAGTTTCCTTTGTTCAATCTTAACATCCTAATTTTGATTAGAATTGTATCATTTTCAAACTTATTGTAAATTCTTTCACATTATGATCACTCTTCCCTAAGAGTTACAAGAATACCATTTAGCCTTTGTCATTGCGTAATAGTGGGTTTCTCAACACTGCTCCAAAATACCAACTGACATAGTATAGGAATTTGTCTGCCCCAGTATTAGTGCTCAGTAGATTTGCCCAATCTGTATGTAGACTGAAGTCAGCCACAATTACTCTGTTACCCTTGCTACACGCACCTCTAATTTCCTGATTGATAGTGTGTCTTAGATTATTAGTGCTGTGTGATGGTCCATAAAGAACTCCCACTGGAGGCTGCTGCCCCTTCAACAGGCTCTACATTGTTCTTCTGATCGTAGATCCTCTCCTACTAACAGATTGACCCTATCCTTTATGATAGAACCAGAAGTTTATTTTTACAGAGGCCCTTCAGCCCATTATGTCTGCACCAGTCATCAGCCACTCATCTATTCTAATCCTATCTTCCAGTAGTTGGCCCATTGTCTTGTGTGCTCTGGGCAGTTTGAGTGCTCATCTAAATAGTTCTTTAATGTCTTGAGGGCTCCTGCCTCTGTCACCCTTTCAGGCAGTGAGTTCGAGATATCTACCTCCGGGCGATCTTTTCCCCCTCAAATTCACTATAAACCCCTTGCTGTATTTGATGTTAGCATTTATTTCTATTGTATTCCAGTTTCAGTTACAACTCTTTACTTCCCACAACCAGATCTCTGTCCTATCTGAAGTCCTTTTCAGGTTCCCACCCTTTCCAAACTAACTTAAACCCTCCACAACAGCACTAGCCATTCTCCCTCTGAGGACATAAGTTCCAGTCTTGTTGAGGTGTAACCTCACAAAAGGTTAAGTCATAAGAGTTATAGTAGACCATGATGTTGGAGGTTGTATATTGGCGTGGATAGAGAATTGACTAATGGGCAGGAAATGACAAGTGGGGATAAGAGGTTCTTCTTCAGGTTGGTGACCTATAACCAGTGGGTTCCACAGGGATCAGTGCTGGGATTGCAACTGTTTGCAATATATATTAATGACTTGAAGGAAGCAAATATACTGTAGACACAAAAATAGGTGGAAAGGCAAGTAGCAAAAGGGATACCGGCAATTTACAGACAGAATATTGATAGGATAAGTGCACAAAAAGTTAGCAAAAGGAGTAATAATGTGGGAAAATGTGAACTTGTTCATTTCAGAAGAGAGAACAAAATAAGAGTATTAACTAAATGGAGAAAAGCTGCAGAAAGCTGCAGCACAAAGGAACTTAGAGGTAACAAGAACTGCAGATGCTGGAGTAGAGATAACACAGTGTGGAACTGGAGGAACACAGCAGGCCAAGTAACATCAGAGGAGCAGGAAAGTCGACGTTTCAGGACAAGACCCTTCATCAGGACTGGGGAGGGGGGAGGGAGCTGGGAAATAAATAGAGGGAAGAGGGGTGCGGCTGGGGGAAGGTAGGTGGGATGGTGATAGGTGGATGCAGGTCGGGGGTAGTGGGGATTGATCAGTGGGAAGGGTGGGGCAGATAGGTGGGGAAGGAGGTCGACAGGTAGTGTCAGGTCAAGGAGGTGGTGATGAGAGGGAAGGTTGGACACGGGATGAAGCTGAGGGAAGGGAGATTTTGAAACTGGTGAATTCTACATTGAGACCATCAAGCTGTAGGCTCCTAAGGTGGAATATGAGGTGTTGTTCCTGCATCATTGTAGCACTGGAGGAGGCCCAGTATGGACATGTCCCCAAGGGAGTGGGAGGGGGAATTAAAATGATTAGCAACCGGGAAGTATTGTTGATTATAGCGTACGGAACGCAGGTGCACTGCAAATCTGGCACTGAGTCTGCGTTTGGTCTCACCAATGTAGAGAAGGCCACTTCAGGAGCAACAGATACAGTAGACCAGGTTGGACGATGTACAGATGAATCCCTGTCAGATATGGAAAATTTGTCTTGGGCTTTGGATGGAGGTGAGGGGAGAGGTGTAGGGGCAGGTGTAGCACCTCCTGTTGTTTCAGGAAAGGTGCTGGGGGTGGTGGGGCTAGTAGGGAGTGTGGAGCCCATGAGGGAGTCAGAGTGAGCAGTCCCTATGAAAAGGAGATAGGGGTGGGGAAGGAAATAACTCCTTGGTTGTGGGGTTGGATTGTATGTGGCGGAGAATGATACTATGGATGCGGAGGCTGGTGGGATGGTGTGAGAGGATCAGGGGAATTCTGTCTTTATTTTTGTTGGTGGGAGGGGTTTTGAGGGCAGAAGTGCAGGAAATGTAAGAGATGCAGTTAAGGGCATTTTTGATCAACGGAAGAGGACATTGCGGTCATTGAAGTAGGAGGATATCTGGGATGTGCGGGAGTGGAACGCCCCATTTTGGGAGCAGACGCGACGGAGGCGGAGGAATTGGGAGTAGGGGATCACATTACTGCAGGAAGGTGGGTGAAAGGAGGTGTAGTTGAGGTAGCTGTGGGAGTCGGTGGGTTTGAGATAGATGTCGGTGCTGAAACAATTACTGGAGATGGAAACAGAGAGGTCCAGGAAGGGGAGGGAGGTGTTGGAGATATTCCAGGTGAATTTGAGGTTGGGGTGAAAGGTGTTAGTAAAGTTGACAAACTTGGGGATTCTTGTGCATGCAGCACAGAAAGCTAGCACACACGTGCAGCAGGTAATCAGGAAGGCTAGCAGAATGCTGGCCCTTATTTCAAGGGGCTTGGAGTACAGGAAGTCTAACTACAACTGTACAAGATACTGGGGAGACCACATATGCAGTACTGTGAGCAGTTTTGATCACCTTATTTAGGGAAAGATTTAATTTCATTGGAGGCAATTCAGAGAATGTTCACTAGGATGATCCCTGGTATGGAAAGATAGTCATGTGAGCAAAAGCTAAACAGGTTGGGCCTCTACTCATTGGAGTTTAGAAGAATGAGAGGTGACCTCATTGACATATACAAAATTCTAAAGAGGTTTGACAGAGTAAATGCTGAGAGGATATTTCCCCTCATGGGACAGTCTAGGACCAGAGGGCATAGTCTCAGAACAATGGGGTGTCAATTTAAGTCTGAGATGAGGAGGAATTTCTTCTCTTGAGCATTGAGTCTTTGAAACTTGTTGCCACAGAGAGTTTGGGGGCAGAATCCTAGTGTATACTTTAGGCTGAGATGGATTCACGATCAGTAGAAGGATCAAGGGCTATGGGGCAAAGGCAGGGAAGTGGACGCGATGAATGCCAGATCAGCCATAATCATATTGAATAGCAGAACAGGCTTGAAAGGCTGAATGGCCTACTCCTGTTCTAGAATGTCTGACCTGACTTCCTTGTTCAGGTCCCAATGCCCCAGAAATCTAGACCCTCCATCTTACATGATTTGTCTAGTCACATGGTCACATATTCAATCTTTCCATTGCTACTCCATGCTTGCACGTGGTGCAAAGAGCAATTTTCAGTCTGGGGGGAGGTAACAATATGTAATGTCACTGGAGTATGAACCTAATCTAGAGATCAAACCTAATGTTTTGGGGACATAGGTTCAGAGCCCATACTGGGCGCTAGAGGAATTTAACACTCTGAATAAAAACAAAACAAAGAACCGCAGAAGCTGGAAATCCAACCCAACAAAAGAAATTACTGGGGAAATTCAGCAGGTCTGGCAACATCCAGTCACTGGATCCGAATCTCTGCTTTCTCTCCACGGATGCTGCCAAACCTGCTGAGTTTCTCCAGCAATTTCTGTTCTTGCTTCAGTGAATAACGCCTGGAATTTAAAGTTAATCTTACAGTAATAGTGACCAAGAACTATCAATTGTCAGGAAAAACCCATCTGATTCACAAGTATCTTTTAGGGAAGCAAATCTGCCATCCTCACCTGGCCAGGCTTACGTCACTCCAGACCCACAGCAATGTGGCTGATCCCTAACTACGCTCTGAAATGGTAAAACAAATCACTGATTGAGTGATATATAACTGTGGAAGGACCATGAATGCTGGCCTTGCCAGTGACATCCATATTCCAAGAAATGATAAAAGTATGACTGCATTAGAGGTCCTACATTTTAATTTTTTCCTTGGTTTCTAAACTCAGCTTTCAGATGTCCCCTTATTGGATGTGATTTGTACTAACATGGACCTTGACTTCTGGCTGCTCACCTGTCCTACATATGCTGGGTGACATCACTGGCCTTGACATCAGGGAGGCCATGTCCATGATCACAGAAACATCCATTTGTCCCTTATTGCACCTCCTGCCATATATCGCTCTTCCCTGTATTTGTGTGCAGCTAGGCCACATGTAGCTGTTGCCACATTTCTCTGATAAACCACTGCCCTCAGTTTCCAAACTAGGAAACTAGTTGCTGAACTAGACCAAATGGACACCTGAACTACGTTAGACTGTCTGTAGTCCCTTTCTGCTCTTGGGGTACAACCCCCTCCCTAAACAATATCTGCCTAGGAGGTTTGTCTTGCTGATGCTCCAATACTGACTTGAGCTGACACTAGAATTCTGAAGCACTGAACGCAAATTTCTGCAGATGGTGACACTTTCTGCATGAATTGGTTGAGGCCATGTGAAGGGTCCACAACTGCCCAAGTCACAGGATGGGTGTTCCCAATGACCATTGCCTTCAGGAAGATGGGGTGACAGGAGATGTGCATTCTGACAGTGAGACAGTGGATAATTCATTGAAACCAAGGTTAACTTGACTGTATCAGAGACAGTAGGAACTACAGATGCTGGAGATGGCCTGCTATATTCATCCAGCTCTACACCTTGTTATCACAGAGCCATTTCTTAAGATAGGTCCAGACCCGAAACATCAGCTTTCCTGCTCCTCTGATGCTGCTTGGCCTGCTGTGTTCATCCAGCTCTACACCTTGTTATCTCTTAACTTGATTGTAGTTCTGGGGGTCAAATGAAGGGGTGAGGGATATGGTTAAAGGCCCCATCAACAATGTCGGGGAGAGGGGAAGGATTCTTGATTGAGGAAAAAGGATCTCTTAGGAGACAAACCCCAGCCTCTCCACTAGCTCAAGCTTCCTAGGCAGTAGTCAAATTAAGTTGCACAAGCATTCATTTTTAACCATTTCCTGCCTCTCAAAATTCAACCCTCCCATGTTCCCATCTCAGCAACTCCAATACCAAACTTCCAACTTCCAGGAACAATCCATTTCTCTTTTATTATTTTGAGTGAAAGTACAATGCTGTTTCCAAAGAGCAAGGGACATTGCAACACAAGGAATTGGAATTGTGAATCTCTGTCACACCATATTGCTTGCAGTTCCAAAATCAGTCAGAACTAATCATGGTCTACAGGCAGTACTAACTTCAACGTTCTTAGGCATTAAGCCACAGGACCCTCTGACCTCGCCCAGTGAGGGCCCTACCTGGTGGGAACAGGCATCCCTCCCTTCAGTGAAACCCCTCTGTCAGGGAGACAGCCCTTCCCCCAGTTGGAACCACACCCCCTTGGGCAGATTGCAGCCCATCTGAAAGGGGGTTCTCACTGGAGCAGGAGTAAAGTTTAATGTAGAGAAAGTTTGGGTAAAGATGCCCTTACAAATAACCCTAACCCATCTTTTGCAAAAACAGACTCAGCACAGAATGGACACCAAATGATTCTTTTTAAACATTGATCATTCAATAGATTTAGATCACAATTAAAATCACATCAATTGTTTCACACACATTAAGAACAAAATGAACATTTCTCATTGTAACGAGGCAACAATGCAGCAGCTAGCCTGCTACCAAAAGACTTGGTGTGCGTGGCAATCGATGTCTGTCACCTCCAACCGCTCCTCAGCTTCCCACCCCCCGACACCCCCCGGCAGTTTGAGTACACTCTCATGGCCTCTCACCCTGCAGCATAACTCCAGTCCATGAAACTCTGCATCTCCCCCAGCCCCAGCAAAGTTGCAGGCTGGGGCGGGGCTGCGATCCAGGCAGTCAATCGGAGAGCATCCGCCCTCCTCCTAAAAGGAATAAATAAAAGCAGAATGCTTCAGTGCTTCTGGTGCAGGGGGGGTGGAGGTGGGGGAGTCCTCACATCGACCCCCGAAGCTCCATCTCCACTCCCCCCCACCCCCCCCGCTCACTCCCAACTGAGCATGCAGCTTAGTGCATTTCAATTCTTTATTTAAAAAGCAACATCAAGATCCAGTTGTGTATGAACCCTTCTCAATGGGGCACGCAGCAGACCGAGGCACTGTCAATACACGGGGGTGGGGTATCCTGGGCAGCCCGCGGGGGGCAGTTACTCGGGGCAGCCCCCGGGGGTGGGGTGGGGTGGGGGTCAGATACTCGGGGCAGCCCCCGGGGGTAGGGTGGGGGTCAGATACTCGGGGCAGCCCCCGGGGGTGGGGTGGGGGTCAGATACTCGGGGCAGCCCCCGGGAATGGGTCAGATACTCGGGGCAGCCCCCAGGGGTGGGGTGGGATGTCCCAGCCTGGCCCCCCGGGAGGGACAATGTGCAACAGTGACTTCAGGAGGCAGCCACGGTGCACCGCACCACCTGCTCAGCATCATCAAGCCAACTCCAGCCTTTCCCAGTCAGGCACTACCACACCGACTGAGCCACCGTGTACAGCCCCTGCCCACACCAACCCCCCAGCCAAGCTGTCATACACAGTGCTGGCACGGAGACTGCAGCAGGGTCGCCCATGCAGGAACAAAACAGCACTGGGTGCTGTGAGGCAGTAAGCTCAGCACCAAACCTCAGGCAACGAGGTGACCAGCACCAAAACATTCAGCCCCAGCACATTCACAAAAACCTACATCTCTTGTTATACTTCAACAGTGCTCTCGCAGTGCCCTCCTCCATGTACCTCACCAATGGCCATTCTTTCAAGCATTAAGCTAGACACTGAGTGCCAGCGAAATGTTCCACCATTTGCAGAAATTCCACTCAAAACCAATTCTGTGCTCACTTAACATTTGCACAAACACCTTACCTGTTAAGGTGAGTGGATAGTGAATGATCTGGCTGCACCTCCATTCCACCACACCCCAACCCATCTCAACTTAACTTTGTATCCCACCCTGACAGAGAACAGCTAACATAGCTTGAACCAAGGATTTGTCAATCAGGCAGCTGGGCAGAGACATGGGTGGGGGCACAGGGAACGGTTCCAGCTCCCAAAGACTCTCTCAACTTACCATCCTGAAGCTAAACAAGACAAGAACATCTCTTGGATGAAGATGATGACTAGTTCAAAATCCCGAGGAGATGCTTATAGATACAAATCCAACAATAAAATATTATCCGTAGGGCAAATTTCCAGTAAGACACCAATTCAAACACAGTGATAGTTTTGTAAGGGAAAGAGTCTGAAATTTGAAACCTTTCCATAATCCTGTCATAAAATAACCCCCTGAACATCAGGCAGTTAATACATCAACACGTTTGTTTCTGCCTTTCCAGAACCTGATCCTCAGCCCACCCCTTTTTCTCACTCAAGAGGACAAGGTACAGTATCCGTTCATACACAACACAGCTTCAGAGAAAATGAGACATGAGTTCAAACAAATGTCATTGTGAATATCACAGAATCAGAACAGTCCTATGTACTGAGATACAGGTTCCTGACACCCTCTCCATGAGCCTTCTCAATGCAGCCAGAGTGAACTCAGTGCAGTTCTGAACAAGTGGCAGTTTGAACACAACCTAGACTGGGTTCAGTTCACAAAGACACACACACTACTTTTATTTATACTTCAGTTTGTAGCTTTGATTCAGTTTGTAAGTTCACAGCCTCAACCCTCATTAACTTGGCTCCTGTACACTGAGAACAGCAATGCTGCCTTTCAGACAGAAACACTGAACACCAGGTACAGACTAGAACAATGCCTCACATTAGCACAGCACAGCTCACAAACAGTCCCCAATGTTTACTACAGGCTGAAGGCTGCAAATTGAGAAAGCGACAGGTCTTAGCACTTGGCGACTCCTGGGGTTCATTCAAGTCTGGACTGTGTGTGGATCCGGATGAGTTAAAATTAGTGCAGAGCTCATGGCCTCAGTAGAGCTGCTTCAGAATTGAATGATGCCTCCAACGGATGCAGATTCCACCTGTAACAGCAGCTCATCCTGAAATCTGACTGTTCAGGTCAATGCAGAGCCTCACGATTTGACAGATTCACAAATGCTCACTGCTTTTTATTCGTATCCTAAAGGTTTCACCAGATATATACCAGGTAGAAGAGGTGAACATCTTTAAGCTTGTTTCTCTTTCGGGGGATAGGGGAGAGAAGGGGGGCAATAGCTGGAGACCATGTGAGTTATCACTTACCAGTCCTGTAGCCCAGTTGCTTCTGTCCATATCCTCATAGGATCTCAGTGCACATATCAGCAAGCTGTGCATCACGGAAAATATATCATGCAGTGTAACAAAGTTTGACCAATCTGTGGCGAGACACTGGGATGTGGAAACGGCAATTGGTGGCGGACGGGGAGGTGGGGGGTGCAGTGGGAAGGTGAAAAGGAGAGAGTGGGGTCAAGAATCACAAGTAGATTCACGTCAAGTGCATTTCATCATTGATAATACTGGCTGTGGTCAGCAGATTGGTGGCTGCAACGATCATTCTCTTATACAGGAGTCAAGCAGCTAACGCAATCATCTCACCAGCCTTAAACATCATGTATGGAGCAGATATGGCCACGCAGCACACTTATGACTGCGTTGTGAGAATGTGTAAGCACAAGTGTGTACTGAAATGTCTCACGGTGACGGAGGACAGCGACTGTACTGCACGCGGTATCTATTGACTGGAATCTCATGAATGGTGTCAGATTCACAAATGGTTTTACAAGGGATCAGGTCCTCAACATCCTCGCCCATCAGCCAATCTTGGACAAGCTCGCCCATTTCGTCAGTCACATGATCCTCCAGCCAGCGGTTGTGCCATTCCAGAAACTGCTGGTGCTGATGTCGGGTAACCTGGCACTGAGACTGTTGAGGGGGGGGTAGAGAGAGGGCAGGCAGGAGATAGAGAGGGGATGGAAGACACAAGGAGAGAGAGGACAAGTGGGAGGGATGGGGAAAACAGAGGAGGATGACAGAAAAAGACAGAGTTTCAAGGTAAGGATATTAGGAAGTTAGAAACAGAGAGAATGGCATGAATGAATTAATGGTTGTACCGTAAACACAGAATCATTACAATATGCAACCCACTGATAAATGTTTGTAACAGGCTAAATAACCATGCAGTGTGACAGAGCTGTAGACAGCAGACACATATGCAGATAACTAATAGGAGACATCATTAGATACTGTTCACTGAGGTGAAAGTATCAGGAACAGAGCAAGTTCCATTTCACACACCCACTGTCCAAGGACAGAGACAGCACGGAATTTGATGCAGAGTAAAGTTCCCTCTACACAATCCCCATCTAATGCTGTTAGGACAGGTACTGCACAAGGTTACATACAGAGCAAAGCTGTCCAGATGAGTGTTAGGCTCTAACTCAGAGGAGGAGCTGGCATTACCCTGAATTTTTCATGGCTCTTACAAGTCTCTAAGTCAGATCCCTATTTAGGGCAGTCATTCAGAGGACCCTTACACACTGGATCTTGATGTTCACTGGTTTCTAACACTCCTCCATAACAGTAGCCCTGACACTAACTCCTCTTCTTTCAGGATGGCAACAGAGAATGGCAGCAGGTTAGGCAGCAGCCTTTTATCACTGCAGCTACAACCCAGGCTAGAGGGGCAAGTAATTGAAGAGTGTGTCTGTCGGACCCCTAGCTTCACATCATGCCAGGTCAACATGAGTATGAGTAAGGGATGGATGAACAGTTACCTCGCGAGCACGGTGCAATGCTCCACAGCGATACATGAAGTCTTCAGAGTTCATGACATACACAAGTTTGTGAGTGTTCAGTTTAAACTTGCAGTCAATGTTGTTTGAGTTCTCCACTCCGACACAGCATTGCTTGTTGTTCCTGCTCTCGTTTCTCATTGACAGAAACTGCTTCTGCTGCCATTTTCGAAATTTTCGAAGGTTTCTGCAAAACATCAAGGCTATTTTAACATCCATGAAATTGCTGAACTAAACAGACTGAATAGTTTTGACGACATGGGTATGGAAAGTATGTCTAGACTGAGGGGCACGGTTTAAGATTGAGGAGTTGCACTTTCAGTATAGAGATGAGGAGAATTCTTTTCTCATACAGTTGTGTGAATTTGGACTTCTGGCTCAGAAGGCACTGGAGGTGGGGTGGGGCTCAATGGATATTTTTAAGATGGAGGTAGATAGATTTCCCTGTCTCACAAGAATCTAAGGTCTTCATGGAAATGTGGAGTTTGAAACACATGAGCCATCATATTACTGAATGGCAGAGCAGGCTTGAGGGGCTGAATGGCCTACTTCTGCTCTTAATGTGTGTGTTTATATGCAAACTATTTCTGTCTTTCCACATCTCCAACATTAGCATTCAAAGATACCAGGACCTAGAAATACCAGTATTCCAAAGTCAGATTAATCAGAGGTAAAGTGGTAATATCCTCTTTATTTTGGACTGTACATGAATAATGTGCTCACTATTCTCTGTAAAAGGACAGAAAACAACATAATATCCTTCCCAGACAAAGGGAGTCATGTGGCCAGGATAGCTGTGTGTGAACTCACCTGGGTAAAAACACTGGCTTGTAAAAGAATCCATCTGTCTGATCAAACTGCATTGCCTCTGGGCCTGCATACTGCTCCATATAGCTTGTTAAATTCTGCCAATGAGAAAGATGAAGGAGAATTATACTCAACATTAATATTTTAATAGCTTTTTTTTGGGATGTGGACATGGTTGGCAAGGCTAGCGTTTATTGGCCATTCCTAATTCATTTTGAGAAGCAGCTGGTGAGCTGCCTTGTGCAACTGCTGTAGTCCACGTGGTGCAAGGTTACTCAATGCTGTTAAGAAGGTTTTTATACCCGGCCACAGTGAAGGAACAGCAATATATTTCTCAGGGAGGTGATGGCCTAGTGGTTTTATCACTCGATTACTAATCCAGAAGAACTCAGGTAATGTTTTAGGGACCCAGGTTCAAATCCCACCATGGCAAATGGTGGAATTTGATTTCAATAAAAATCTGGAATGAAAAGTCTAGTGATGACCATGAAACTGTCATTGATTGTAGTAAGAACCCATCTGGTTCAGGAATGTCCTTTAAACTGGACAATAAACTGCTGTCCTTACCTGGTCTGGCATATATGTGATTCCAGATTCACGGTAATGTGAATGATTCTGAGAGGCAGGGGAAGAATCAAAGGTTTTCATAGGTAGCTGGAAACGTGGAGTTTGAAACACATAGAATGGCGGAGCAGGCTCGAAGGGCTGAATGGCCTACTTTTGCTCTTAATGTGTGTGTTTATATGTAAACTATTTCCATCTTTCCACATCTCAGGATCCAAGGAATACCCCTCTGGGTAATTAGGGATGGGCAATAAATGCTGGCCAAACCGGTAATACCCACATCCCATGAATGATTAATAACTAAGTGAGGATAGTGAGTGGCTTGGAGGGGAGCTTGAATTGGTGGTGTTCCCCCATGTATCTGCTGTCCCTATCCTTTGAGATGGAAGTGAAGGTGGGTTCAGAAGGCTCTGTCGAAGGAGCCTTGATGAATTTCTGCAGTGCATCTTGTAGATGGTACTCACTGCTGCTATTGAGCGTCGGTGGTGATAATGAAAGTAGTAGGCGGCTTTGTCTTATGGACTGGACAGTAGCAAACATAGCCCCCACTATTTAAGTAAGGAAGCAGAGAGAAAACTGGAAATTATAGGCCAGTTAGCCTGTCATCAGTAGTGGACAAAATGCTAGGGGCCATTGTACAGGATTTAAAAGCAAAGCACTTGGGGAAAAAAGTGACAGGATCAGAAAGAGTCAGCATGGTTTCAAAAAGGGAAACCAGGCTTGACAAATCTACTGGAATGTTACAAGGATGTAACTAATGGAAATGATAAGGGACAGCCAGTGGATGTGGATTACTTGGACTTTCAGAAAAAGATTAGTATGTAAAATTAAATTGCATGGGTTTGGAGGCAGTATACTGACATGGATAGAAAACTGATTAGCAGACAGGAAACAGAATGTAGCAATAAAGAGGCCATTTTCTGAATGGCAGGAAGTGACTACTGGGGTACCTCAGGGATCAATGCTCAGACTCCAGCTATTCACAATAATGATTTAGATGAGGGAACTAAATGTAATATCCCCAAGTTTGCAGGTTACATAAAGCTGGGTAAGACAGGGAACTGTGAGGAGGATGCAGAGATGCTTCAGTGTGATTTGGACAAAATGAGTGAGTGGGCAAATGCAAAGCAGACAACATGGATAAATGTGAGGTTATCCACTTTGGAAGCAAAAAACAGGAAGGCAGATTATTATCTGAATGGTGATAGATTGGGAAAGTAGGAGATGCAATGGGACCTCTCAGTGATGCTTAAAATGAAGGAGTACTGATTCATCAGCCAAGGATCAGATGGTCCTGGTGATGGTGGAATCATAGAATCCCCATAGTGAATAAAGAGGCCGTTTGGTCCATTGAGTTCACACTGACCCTATAAATAGCACTCCACTCAGACCCAGACCCAGACCCAGACCCCCACCCTATCCCGACAACCCCATATTTCCCATGGCCAATCCACCTAACTTGCACATCATTGGACTGAGATGGGAAACTGGAGCACCTGGTGGAAACCCACACAGACACAGGGAGAATGTGCAAACTCCACACAGTCACCCGAGGGTGGAATTGAACCCGGGTCCCTGACGCTGTGAGGCAGCAGTGATGGTACATGGTAATCAGCAGGAGGCTTCCTTGCCCATCCTTCACCTGATGCCATGTGACTTTGTGGGTTTCAGAGTCAATGTCGAGGTCTCTCAGGGTCAATCCAACCCAACTTTATATCACTGCACTGCAATCTCTGGTGGCAAACTCAAGATGATGGTATTATCTAAGACTGCATGTAGGATTAGAGTCCATGAATATGACTGTCAGCTGCTACTGATCTGTGGGACAGCTCTCCCAACTGCCTTTTTTAGACTCTGTAGGGATTTGATACAACTGAGCGGCTTGCTGGGCCATATCAGAGGGTATTTAAGAGATAACCGCACTGCTGTGGATCAGGAGTCAGACCAGGCAGATTTCTTTACCTGAAGGATTTTAATGAATCAGATGGCTTGTTATAACAAACTAAAATGGTGTTTCATAGCCACCATTTCTGACTGGAGATCTGTGACCAATGGTGTTCCACAGGGATAAGTGCTGGGACCCCTGTTGTTTTTAGTGTGATATATATTTGAGGAGAATGTAGCTGTTCTGATTAGTAAGTTTGCGGACAACACAAAGATTGATGATATTGATAGTGAGGAGGATTGCCAGAAGATACAACGGGATACAGATAGGCTGGAGTCTTGGGTGGAGAAATGGCAGATGGAGTTTAATCCAAACAAGTGCAAGGTGATGCATTTTGGAAGATCTAATTCAGGAGGGAAGTATACAGTAAATGGCAGAATCCTTAGTAGCACCAATATACAGAAAGATTAGGTGTACAGGAGTTGGGGAAGTAATGGGCCTAGTGGTATTATCACTGGACTGTTAATCCAGAGAAACAGGTAATGTTCTGGGGGACTGGGTTCAAATCCTGCCATAGCAAATGCAGACTGTGGAATCTGAATTCAATAAAAAGAAAATTTAGAATTAAGAGTTTGACAATGATCATTAAATCATTGTCGATTATTGGAAAAACCCATCTAGCTTACCAATGTTCTTTAGGGAAGGAAACTGCCATCCTTATCTGGTCTAGATTAGACGTGATTCCAGACACACAACAATGTGGTTGACTCTTAACTGGGCAACTAGAGATGGGCAATGAATGCTGGCCTAGCCAGTGACACACTCATCCCATGTTAGTTATGAGGAAAGATTGGTCAAACTTGCTTTGTTTTCACTTGAGTGGAGGATGAGCGGTGACCTGATAAGAAATTCATAAAATTATAACAGGCATGGATGGAACGAATAGTTGGAGTCGGTTTTCCCAGTAGAAATGTCAATTACTCGGGGTCATAGGTTTAAGGTAAAAGGGGTAAGTTTAAAGGAGATGTGAGAGGAAGTTTTTTTTTTTTTTACAGAGTATGGTAAGTGCCTGGAAGCACTGCCAGAGGTGGTGGTGCAGGCGGTCACAATTGCAATTTTTAAAAGGTATCTCGAAAGATTGATGAATAGGCAGAGGAACATGGACGGTGCAGAGCAAAGTTTTTAGTTTAGAAAGGCATCATGTGTTGGCATAGTCTTGATGGGCTGAAGGGCCTGTTGCTGTGCTATACTGTCCTTTGTTCATTAGACTAGCTTTACTCCCAAACTATTGTATTCAAATATCACTATCTGTCGCGGAGAGATCTGAACCTAGGTTCCGACACCATCAGTCTGGCCACTGGATTACCGTAATGCTAATGGTACACCCTGACATTAGCATTGTTGCACTCCACTGTTTTCCCTTAAAATGTGCAATGGGTAGAAGCCACAGCAACTCTAGGAGCTGTTGGAGCACAGATTATTGCAGAAAATAAAATATCATAGTGTGACGGGTAACATATTGGACAGAGATTGGCTGGCTAACAGGAAGCGGAGGGTTGTGTTAAATGCATAATTTTCTGGTTGGCAGGGTGTAACGACTGGTGTGTCACAGGGACTAGGACCTCAACTGCCCATAATTTAAGTAAATGCTTTGGACGAAGGAACTGCAGGTACAGTTCCCAGAGTGAGAAAATGTGAGGTTGTCCCTTTCATGGTAAAAGCTCAGACTTAGAGGGACCTGGGTGTCCTCATTCATGAACTTCAAAATATCTGAATACAGGTACAGTAAGGAATTAGGAAAACTAATAAAATGTTAAGATTTATTGTTAGGGGAGCTGATTACAAGTGTAAGGAGGTTATGCTCCAGTTATACAGGTCATTGGTGAGATCACATCTGTAATACTGTGTACTGTGCTGGTCTGCTTAGTTAAGAAAGGATGCAAATGTGGTGGAAACAGTTCAGAGAAGGTTTACCAGACTAATAGCTTGAATGGGTAGGCTGCCCTAAGATGAAAGGTTGGGCAGGCTGGGCCTGTATCCACTGGAGTTTCATAGAGTAAGAAATGACTTGATTGAAGCATGTAAGATTCTCAGGGGTCTTAACACGGTGGGTGTGGAGAGGATGGTTCATCATGTAGGAGAATCTAGAATTCAGGGTCACTATTTCAAAATTAGGGGTCAACCATTTACAACTGAAATGAAGCAAAATCTTTTTTGACTGAGGAGATTTGGAAAATTCCTCCACAAGGAAGCAAAATCCTTGAATGTTTCTAAGATAAAGGCGGATAGATTTTGGATCAGCAATGGAGTAGAAGTTTATGGGGGTAGGTGGGAATGTGGAGTAATTAGATCAGACATGATCTTACTGAAGGGTGGAGCAAAGTTGAGGGGCAGAGAGGCCTATTGCTGCTCCTAACTCATGTGCTCCTTTGGAACAGAAACCAGATCATTGCAGCTAACAGGAATCTCAAACAAAATCAGCGAATGTAAGCAGGGCAACTCTTTAGGCCCATCTTGTCTGCTTACTTTAATGTCCACCTTTTCTGTGGTGAATCATTGAAACACGAGAAAACATTACAGCCGGAAGAGCTGAGCATTCAAACTGCAGCCTCCCTGGGATTCCCAAATACCTCAGCGGGAATCTCAAGGATTTGGGCTGTGAGCAGCCACACACACCCGACAGTAGAGGGGGGAAAAATTCTCACCTGCAGCTCCAGGGGGTCATCAGAAGGGGCTTCCTCTGTGTCCAACAGCTCAATTGTCATAGAAACACGTCCTTTGCTCTGGATAAACATAATCTGCAGCAAAAGTAACAAAAAAAACAGATCACTGCAGTCCCATCACACGGTGATTTAAGCCCTCTGTCACTACATCGCACCCCCCCTTCCCCCCCACCCCACACACAGCAGCCAATCATGAAAACCTATCCAGCAGATTGGGCCTGAGTCTGGGTGTCTGACACTAACCGTGCTCACAGTGTTCTGGCCTCGTCAATCTGGTTTATTTGTTACCCCTCCGTTGATAGGCTCTGAGCCTTTTTCCCTTTCCCCCTTATTAACACAGTGTCTTGGGCAGTTTTCCATTGGACATCACTACAGTGTTGCCTGAATCTCTGACATTGCACTTTATAAAGTCTGTGAATGCAGAAACCATGACCACTACATTCCATCTCTGGAACCACAAACCAGCAAGCTCTCAAATCACACAACAGAAATCAGCAGGCTTTCACCTCTGGCAGTGGGAACAAAAAGCAAGGCCCTGAATGGACCACCTGTGCCAGCACCCTCCCCACTCCCCATACAGGCAGCAGCCGCCTATGCCGGCCCCACATGCACGCACAGGCAGTGGTCGTCTGTGCCGGTCCCACATGCGCGCACACACACACTGGCAGCGGTCGTCTGTGCCGGTCCCACATGCGCGCACACACACACTCACACACACACAGGCAGCGGCCGTCTGTGCCGGCCCCGCACACACAGG